AAGATGAATGTGAATTCTCCTTGATTTTCTTCCTATTTCCTTTTCTTTTCTCTAACTTTCTCTTCTTGCTCTCAACAAGTTCTCTCTAACTTTCTCCGTCCTTCTCCATCCTTCTCTATTTTGCCCTAGGACCAAATTAGCTTAGGCCACTAATTGTTTAATTAGCTTAAATGGCCAAGTTTAACTCAAACTAACCTTGCTAAGCCTCTAAGAAAGAGAATTTTCTGAGTAATTGTTGCCTAATGATATTAATTTAACATAAGCATCTCATTTTAGGTTTTCTAAATCACCTAAGGGTTCAATTCCCAAGTCCAAAAATATGAATTTGAATTCTCTTTGATTTTTGTCCTATTTTTCTTTCTTTTCCCAACTTTCTCTTCTAGCTCTCAAGAAAAAAGTTTCTCTCTAACTTTCTCCGTCCTTCTCCAGCCTACTCTATTTTGTTCTAGGAATTAATTATCTTTGGCCACTAACTGTTTCATTAGCTTAAGTGGCCAAGTTTAACTCAAACTAGCCTTGCTTAACCTCAATGAAAGAAAATTTTCTAAGGAATAGTAGCTTAACGATATTAGTTTAAATTAAACACAACATTTAAGGTTTTCTAAATCACCTAGGTGTTCAATTCTCAAGTCCAAAATGATGAATTTCAATTCCTTTTGATTTTACTCCTATTTACATTTCTTTTTTTTTGGGTGAATAAGAGATAAAATAAAACAAGAAAATTTACACAGCTACAAGGGGCATACCCCAGGACCTAACACAGCTATACAGAGGACAGAACAAAAGCCAACAACCTGTTCACCATTCCTATAATCTAGCAATAGGAAGAGTGAACAAGAAATATAAACAATTATAACAACCTAGGCGAAGAGAGCAAACTGAAGCATAGATCCAGGAGGCTATGATCTTGAAGAGAACCTCCTGCTACTGTAGCACCAAGCAAAAGAATCTGGACACTGTATCCACAAAAGGCACGAGCCAAAACAAAAAAACAACAACATTTCCTACACATCCCGTAGGGCTAGGAATGAGAAACAAAAACAAAACTAAACTGTTAAAATGTGTGCAAGCCGAAACATGGTTACTAGGACAGCTATTAGGAATACAAAGAAGTACAAAAATACTCCTACACAGCCCGTAGGAATAAGCTAAACACACTACTAAATTATGCAAAAAAAGCAATGAAGAACAACTGATTTTCTCCCTCCTGTAGCACAGCAAGGCGCTAGCAGCAGCCATCACCATGGTACAGACACACCCTTCATACTGCCACCCGAATCTGTGTAGCATGTATCCAGCACCCTTCCACGCCAAAAACCAAGGATGCCAGCAGCACTTCCCTGCAACTGCACTGTACGCAGCACCACACCTCCTCACCAACAAGTGAACCTGTCGTAAATCATAAAGGAGAAGAAATAACAGACACACAATATAGGAGCTCTCCTCACTCGACCCACAACACAGTATGTCTCTCCACTCCATATATGATCTCACAACACTAGGCCCACAACTCACATGATACCTCGAAAGGATCAGAAGGACATTATACTTGAATGCTCCAAGAACCTGCACAAACCATATATAAGATATAATAAAAGTTAGCATAAAGTATGTGTATTGTCTCTCATCACTCAACCCACAATGTCTGGAAATATATAGGTAGCTCACAGCACTCAACCCTCCATACGGACCCATCAATGTAGGAGAAGATTTAGGATTCATGATAACCTGCAAAGGAGCACCCAGTTAGTAAACCCCACAGTAGTTGCTCACCATCACTCAACCCTCAATGTATGTAACCTCACATCACTCATTCTCCGGCCAGCTGCAATAGTATGGTGCTGCTGCAAGAGTTTGAGAGGAAGACTCCATTCCTCCAAAAGCCAATTATCACCTGCAGAAATTTTAACATTTTCCAAAGAAAGAAGCCTACCCCTAACCATTTGGATAATAGAGTTAGTAACAACCTCTTCAGGCTTTTGGACCTTATTGAAGATCCTACTATTCCTCTCTATCCAGATGTGGTAGACAGTGCACAGAAATGATAGCTTAAGAATCACCATTTTCAAGGAGGTGCCACTGATAGATCTAACAGCAAAATCAACAGTTTCCAACCAAGGCAAAGAAGGCCAGTTAGACTTACACTTGGCAAGGATACCACCCCAAATCCTAGAAGAAAATATGCATCTAAAGAAAAGATGAGAATGTGTCTCCTCAGGATCTTGACAGAAAGGGCAGCAAGGATTAGTAACAAGACCACAGGTTTTGAGTCTATCACCAGTATTAAGTCTCTCATTGATGGCTAACCAAACAATAAAACTAACCCTAGGGATTGAAGGGGGGCCCCAGATAAGTTTGGACCAAGTGACTTTGGGGCCCTTATCCCTCCAACAATCCCAAGCTGACTGGATAGAAAAGTCACCATCAGCAGCCAAATTCCAAAACGGAGTATCAGAAGAGCCAAAGGAAGGAAGTAAGGATAAAGGGGTAGAAGAGATCCACTCCTTTATCTCCCAAGAATTAGAGATAGGCCACTTCCAAGAACCATTAGAGACTATAGAGCTAACCTTGGTGCTGTCAGGAAGATTAGTGTCATAAAGAATTCTAGGACCAAACCTATGCCACAACGAACCAAGCGGATGCCAATTGTCATACCACAGGAACACATTTTCCCCATTACCAATTTTAAACTTGATGTGAGGATAGATTAAATGCCTAAGAGACAGGATTTTCCTCCAAACCCATGAGGGATCACTAGGAGTTCTAACAGCCCAAAAGCTCCTCCCTTTAAGCAAGTAAGCCTTGACCCATTGGCACCACATGGAACAATCACCCCCAGAAAACAAGTACCAAACATGTTTGGCTATAGCAGCCTTGTTCCAGGTAGCTAAGTCTTTGAAACCAAGGCCACCCTCATTTTTTTCCCTGCAGATATATCTCCAAGCAATCTTAGCACTATGTTTCTTCAACTCAACCCCAGACCAAAGAAAAGATCTAAGGAGGCTCTCAATGTCACCAATGATTTTCTTAGGGAGGATAAAAAGAGAGGACCAGTACACTTGCATAGAAAATAGAATAGACTGGATGAGTTGAGCTCTACCAGCATAAGAAAGCAGTTTATTGGTCCAACTTTTAATCCTCTTAGTAATTCTCTCAACCAGAGTATGACAATCAGATGCTTTAAGCTTGGTAGTGATAAGAGGCACACCAAGGTATTTCACTGGGAGGGAGCCCTCAGTAAAATTGGCTATCCGAAGAATATTCTCTTTAAGCTCACTACTACACCCCGAGAAAAAAATATTACTCTTACTAGAATTAGGGGTAAGACCAGACAGATTCCTAAATTCATCCAATCCCTGCATAATAAGAGAAACAGTACCAGGGTCCCCTTTACTGAAAATCATCAAATCATCAGCAAAGCAAAGGTTGACAATTTTAGTTTTCTCACACCTCCAGTGGAATTTGAACAAAGGGCTCCTAGATTTCTCAGCAAGAATTCTGGCAAGAATTTCCATGGCCAACACAAAGAGATACGGGGACATAGGATCCCCTTGTCTTAAACCCCTCGCCCCTTTAAAATACCCCTGAAGGCTCCCATTAATACAAATCGAGAAAGAAGGACTCGTAATGCAAGCCTTTATCCAGGTAATCATACAAGGAGGGAAAGCCATAGCTTTGAGGATATCAATGATAAAGTCCCATCTCACAGTATCATAAGCTTTCATAATATCAACTTTCATGGCGCACTTAGGAGAGTGGGAACTCCTATGGTAACCTCTCATAATCTCTTGGGACAAGAAAATGTTGTCCGAGATCCTTCTACCTTGAACAAACGCAGACTGCACAGGATCAATCAAATCAGGGAGGGCCAATTTAATTCTATTAGCTATGATCTTGGCAATGCACTTGTAGATGGTATTACAACAAGAGATGGGTCTATAGTCACCAACATGAGTAGGATTAGGAACCTTAGGAATAAGAGCTATAATGGTACTGTTAACCTCAGAAAGAAGTTTACCAGAGTCAAAGAAAGACTTAATAGCTAGAATGACATCCTTACCAACAATATCCCAAGAGCTCTTAAAAAAACCAGCGGAATACCCATCCGGGCCAGGGGCTTTATTGGACTTTAAAGACCAAAAAACCTCTTTGATTTCATTTTCAGACACAGGCTTGGACATTGAAACAGATTGAGAGAGAGAGACTTTCTTATCCACCAAAGATTGAATCCTCTCAAGGCCCTGGTACTGATCCACAGAAGGGGTACCAAACAAGTTGGTATAAAAATTAATAAAGGAGGTGTGAACATCAGTACTATGAGTAGACCTAGAACCATCACCCATGACAACACTCAAAATCAGATTCCATTGGTCAAGAAACCAGCTATCACTTGCGGATCTAGGCAAATTCTTAATAGATAACATTCTATTTCTCACCATTTGGATTATAGATTTAATAACCACCTCCTCAGGCTTCAATTCTTTGTTAAAAACACGGTTATTTCTCTCAATCCAGATATGGTAAATAGAACACAAGAAAGCATTACTAAGAATATTGGCCCTCAAAGAATTACCCTTGGCCTCATTCATAGCATGTGTAACAATATTAGGCCAGCCTAAATCAGGCCACTTTATGTTGCATTTGACTTCAATAGCACTCCAGACTCTATGGGAAAAGGTGCACTTGAAGAAAAGATGGGAGTGGCTTTCCCCAGGGGTAAGGCAGAAAGGGGATTGGGAATGAGGGGCTAAACCAAACATAAGTAACCTATCACCAGTATATAATCTGTTATGAAGAGCTACCCAGACTATAAAACTGACTTTAGGGATCCTATGAAGGCCCCACAGAAGTTTATGCCAATCCACTTTGCCAAAGCTATTTCTCCAGTGATTCCAAGCTGATTTAATGGAAAACTGACCATCAGTAGTAAGTTTCCAGACAACACGGTCACTCATTAAAGGGTTGGGCTTACAGCAGTCAGGAGTAGATGAGATCAACTCCTAAATCTCCCAAGAATTAGGAATAGGCCACTTCCAAGAATGACCCTCAATGATTTGATTAACTTTGGTCTCACTATTGAGACAGGAATCATACATAATTCTATCCCCAAACTTGTTCCATAGTGGCCCAAGCGGGTGCCAATTGTCATACCAAAGAAAGATAGACTCCCCACAACCAACTTTGTGAGTGAGAAGGGGAGACATCCAGTTCCTAAGAGACAGTAATTTCCTCCAAACCCAGGAAGGGTCAGTAGGAATTCTAACTTTCCAAAAACTATTACCCTTGAGTAAATAGGACTTAACCCACTGACACCACATAGAAACCTCACCCCCCGAGAAGAGATACCAAATATGCTTAGCTATTGCAGCTTTATTCCAGATATCAAGGGACTTAAAACCAAGACCCCCTTCATTTTTAGGAGCGCACACAGAATCCCAAGCAATCTTGGCACTATGAGTTTTGGGATCACTGCCAGACCAAAGAAAAGCCCTAAGAATACTCTCAATCTCCTTAATAACCTTCTTAGGAAGGATAAACAAGGAAGACCAGTGAACTTGCATAGAAAAAAGAATGGATTGGATAAGCTGGCTTCTACCAGCATAAGATAAAGATCTGTTAGTCCAATTCTTCACTCTTTTGGTAATCCTATCAATAAGAGGGACACAATCAGTGGCCTTCAACTTGGTAGTAATAAGGGGGACACCAAGGTATTTAACAGGAAGAGTACCCTCTTTAAATTTAGCAGTACCAAGAATCTTCATAAATTTAACAGGAAGAGTACCCTCTTACTGGGATTAGGGGTAAGGCCAGAAAGGTTAGAGGCCTTCCATAATAAGCTTAACAGTAGGCACATCACCTCTGCTAAAGATCATGAGATCATCAGCAAAACAGAGGTTTATAATCTTAGTCTTCTCACACTTCCAATGGAACTTAAACAACGGATGAGCAGATTTTTCAGCCAAGATTTTGGCAAGAATCTCCATGGCTAAAACAAATAAATATGGGGACAAAGGATCACCTTGACGTAAGCCTCTCGCCCCTTTGAAATAGCCGTGGAGACTCCCATTGATACAAATGGAAAAGGTGGAACTAGTGATGCAAGCCTGGATCCAAGAAACCATGACAGGAGGAAAGGCCATGGCCTTAAGAATGTCAATAATGAATCCCCATCTCACACTATCATAGGCTTTCATGATATCCACTTTCATGGCACACTTAGGGGTAGGGGACTTCCTATGGTACCCTCTCAGAAGCTCTTGAGATAGGAAAATATTGTCAGATATTCTCCTGCCTTGAACAAAAGCTGATTGAACAGGATCAATGAGATCAGGGAGAACAGTTTTAATCCTGTTAGCAATGATCTTAGCAATGCATTTGTAGATGGTGTTACAACAAGAGATGGGTCTAAAGTCCCCCACTTTGACAGGGTTGGGGACCTTAGGGATGAGAGCAATGATGGTACTATTGACTTCGGAGAGAAGTTTACCAGACTCGAAAAAGGTTCTTGTAGCTTGAGTAACCTCTATCCCCACAATGTCCCAAGATCTTTTGAAAAACCCAGCAGAGAAGCCATCAGGACCAGGGGCCTTATTGGCTTTCAGAGACCAAAAGGTATCCTTAATCTCTTTATCAGACACAGGACTAGCAAGCAATATCGATTGGTCAACAGATATTTTAGACTTAACCAGTGACTGGATTCTATCATAACCATTATAATGGCCATCAATAGGGGTACCAAATAAGCCAGAGAAAAAATCAATAAAAGCATTTTGGATGTCCTCAGGTTTTGAAGATTTTTGGCCATCCATCATCTCCAAGCTTAAAATTTTACCTCTATTAATGTTACCCTTAATGGTTTTGAAGAAAAAGTTGCTATTTCTATCGCCCTGACTAAGCCACTGAACTCTAGACTTCTGACGAGCCAAGCTCTCCTCAACAGCCAAAAGGTCGACATGTTGTTTAAAGATGGTTCTCTCAATTTTGTGCAGAGAAACATTACTAGGGTCCTTATCCAACTTCCATTGAGCAGAAAGAAGCTCAGCCCTGGAAGTGTGGACTCGGGTAGTAATGTCACTGAAATCTTCCTTATTTAATGCCTTAAGTGCAGGTTTTAGGTTTTTTAACTTCTGACACACTCTGAACATAGGGACACCTTGAATGTACTGGTTCCAAACAGTAGAAACCACAAAGGAAAAGTCCTCATGGTCAGCTCAAAAGTCAAAATATTTAAAAGGTTTCTTAAAAGAACTCACTTTATCAAATATATTTACCACAGCAGGGGAGTGATCAGATATGCCAGAAGGTAAGAATGTAGCAAATGAGGCAGGGAATGCATCAAGCCAAGCCTCATTTACTAAAACTCTATCAATTTTGGAAGTAATATAATCCCCACTAGTTCTCTTGTTAGCCCAAGTGAATTGGCAACCTCCATAGGAGAGATCAACCAGCTCAACTTGCAGAACATGGGAATTAAACTCCTCTTTGTCCTTAGACCAATTAACAGAACCCCCAGATTTTTCATAAGGAAACCTGATAGCATTAAAATCCCCCAAGATAACAAGAGGGGTATTGGACTGAGATTGGGAAATGGAAACCATGTACTCAAAAAAATCTTTTCTAACATCATGTTTATTTTCAGCATATACAAAACATACTCTGAACATATAATCCATAGATACATCATGCACTTCGCAAAAAATATACTAATCAGAGGCATGTAACATTTTAACCTCACAAAAAGCTGAATCCATCCCAGCAGACACAAATACGCCCAGTTTTAGAGGGTTGTGAGTTTGTCAAAAAGGGCCAATTGTTAACACCAGCAGAAAAAATCTGATGTTCATTCAAAGCTTTTATTTTAGTTTCCAAAATGCCCATTATTTTAATGTCTTCATGCAGCAAAAATTTCCTAACTTCTTTATGTCTATGGGGATTATTAAATCCTCTGGCATTCCAAGATGCAATTTTTAAAGACATTGGATACAAAAAAAAATCAAAAACCCACAAACCAGTTAAAACTGGGATTACCTGCGTTTCTTCCTCTGGCTTTTGTTGCCTTTGCCAGAGGTGTTACCTTTTGCACTTGAACCAGTTTGGGCTTTTTTGTTGGTTTGAAATTTATTAGGGGTAGATTCCACAAGCTGATCCACTTTAGCCACCAGGTCTGTATCATGAGGTAGGACTAAGCTTGTGATTTCAACCAATTCCTTCTTAAGGGCCCTCAAACCATCCATATTGTCATCCTTTGGATCTCCATCTCTGGGGCTTAGCTCATCTCTGTCAATTTGATCAGATATTCCTTCATTGGAATTCCCCTGGACTTGTACTTCTTGTTGACTCTGACCCTCCTCAGGCTGCTGCAAACCCTCCTCCCCTGGCTCCTCATTGTTTTCTAGATTTTGCACCCCATCATCATCTTGGGGTTTTTCATAGGTTTCTGACACCGAAGGCATTTCCCCTTAGCCATCACTGTTTCCCAGCCTAGATCCAGATTATTCTCTATCTCTTTTTGGATGTTAATTAAAGCAGCAACCTAGGTTTTTACACACTTAGTAGTATCATGCCTAAACACTAAACAGTTATCACATTTAGGAGGTAGCCCTTGGTATTCAACTTGAACCACTGCATCTGCTCCTTCACAGTTCACCTTAAACATCGCAGGTAAATTTGAGGTTACTTCTACCTCGGCACAGACCCTTGCAAAAGACACTCTACTACCTCTTTCTGTTAGCTGGTCCATAAACAAAGGGACACCTACAGCACTCGCAATTCGGCTTAAACCATCACTATCCCAGTACTCGAATGGGACATTGTAAAACTTAACCCACACAGGAACTGTTGTAGTCTTGTCCTTAGTCAACTTCATCATACGGGTCCACTTCTTCAGAAATAAGTTAAATCCGCCTATGTACCAGGGCCCTCCTTCAAGAACAGTACTGCAACACTCGGGGCTTTCAAAGATGAAAAAGCTGAACGCCTCACCGTTAGCTAGAACTTCTTTCAAACCCTTGTTTTTCCATAAACCAAAGGCACTATTCCTCAAATAATTATAGGATACACCCTTATCAAGGAAATATCCCACCAAACATGAATCCCATTTTTCTAAAGGGTTAGGCCGTGGGGGTAAGTTAACACTAACATAACCCTCACTCCGGACAGGAGGAACATACCTTAATGGGACGCTGGATCGCGTTGATGATGCAGTCACATCAGTCCAAGTTTTTGTAGAAGTCTCACCCCCTTGACCTCTACCACTGCCGTACCCTCTACCTCCTCTACCACCTCTATAATTCGAAGATCCCCCCCTCCTGGAGAGCATCTCCTCTCGACCACCTCCATCGCCAGCATCAGAAGGTTGGAAATCTTTTCGACTATTTGCTCACCTACGACAGGGATACGAACAGCTTCCTGATCCATGTCGATTAACTCGATCTGTTGTTCTCCGTGACCCTTTACATCGATTCTATTACGAGCAACCAAGATGCTATCTTGTAGGTTTTGAAACATGGGAGTCTCATCTTCCGGTCGATCGGACCATCGAGAGGCTGATTGGGGACCTACTAGGGTAGACGGGGTCATTACCGAAGGAGATGGGTCCTTCAATCGTGCCAGTCGATCGACAATTCTTTGAAAATCAGAGGGATCCACTATAGTTCCTCTTCGATCGTTTTGATTTAGGGTTTCCACCAAACCCTCAGCGTCGATTGACTCTTCTGAACCCGTGACAATATTATCCTCACTTTGATCCATATTTGCTTCACTCAAGATATCGAACTTGTTACTCACAAACCCTAGAGTACCCTTTAAGTTTCCCTCCACTGAATTGAACACATTCATAACACTCACCTGTTTAGTAGATTGATTCTCAGAACTAGACACAACATTAACTCCTAGCATCGTATTCAATGAGGGATTGAAACCCTAGAAACACAAGTTTCTAGAGAGATGCGAGAGCTTCTCACTCTAACCCATTGCTGCTTAGGAACTCGGTTACATTTTCATGGAGTTCAGCGTGTTTGAGTGGTTCATTCTGGTTATTCTCATGGTTTATCTAGGTGTATTCTCGGGTGACTATGTGGGTCTCTGGTTGGTCATTCTTGTTGTTAACCTTCTCCCTTGTTCTAGAGAGAGAATGAAGAGGTTCATGGGTGCAAATCTGGGTTGTTGGCCTCCGATTCTGAGTGTTGGTCTCGTCGTCAGTTATGGTCAGGTGGATGGTGTTCTTGGCTTCTTGGTCACTACCGTCATTGCTCATGGGTTATGATGATATGGATACCTCTGGTTCGAATCTCAGGCCGTGGCTGTTTACTGGCCGTTTGTGGTGTTTGGTTAGAATCAGCGGTGAGGTCAGTGGCGTTACTGCATATTTCTGGTCACATCACTAGTGGGTCTACAAGTTTCAGTGTATTATTTTCAGCGTCTCGCCGGCGATGGTGTTATTTTTTCATGTCTGCCAGTCTTTCTTGCGTGTGTCGCTGGTTTCGAGTATGACTAGTTGTGCTTAAATGTGAAGTTTTGGAGCTACATGGGTCTTCCACGTTATCTTGCTCAGGTTATGTTTCTCCTCCGGCGCTGGTTTTATCGGTTGAGTGCATGGCTACTATAGAAGAGTGAGATACACGGAGGAGGGTCCACCGGTGTTGTGTTGCAGGTGTTTTGTTCTGTTGGTGATCTGTAGGTGAGCGTGTAACTCACGACTTGGTGCGGGTGTGAATTCAATTGTTGATACAAAGGTCACCACGTGGTTTTTTGGCAGTCTTCT